AACTCTTTTACCAACGAATAGTGGGATTGACCGTAACATTATAACACCCCCACGGCTGAAAGGGCGAGCATGTTTGGTGGGACTGGGATTTGAACACGCGACCCTCAGAGTGGGAGTCGAGCATCCTAACCATCTGTCTATGTAAAAGTACATAGAATTTGTATACTCATAAAAATAAAGTTGAACATATATATATTATTTTAGGTGTTGAACTTTCAAGTGTGGGAAAATATTATGAATAGAATATCTTGTTCAAATCAATTTGAAAAATATTTTTAAAAATTAAAATAAAAAACACGTGGTCCTGATAAAACATAACATATTCTCTGATACAATACAAAATTTAGCTTAAATATCCACGTACAATCTTTAGAATATTACTACTAATCGATACTGGGCTATGAGCATTGTAGTTCGTCAATGACTCCATAACCTTTAGTTATACAGATTTCTAGTTTGTAACACCAAATAAAACTATATAAAACACAATAATACATCTTGTTCCAAATCTGCACTGTTCTTGTTTACAAGCCAAAGTTGAAGCTTGTATGAATGTATGGAAGCACAAGATATCAAGTGTATTCCGATAGTTACATTTTGTCAGCAGTTAAGTACAATGATAAGTACAAGATATCAAGTGTATTCCAATAGTTACATTTTGTCAGCAGTTAAGTACAATGATAAGTACAAGATATCAAGTGTATTCCAATAGTTACATTTTGTCAGCAGTTAAGTACAATGATAAGTACAAGATATCAAGTGTATTCCGATAGTTACATTTTGTCAGCAGTTAAGTACAATGATAAGTACAAGATATCAAGTTTATTCCGATAGTTACATTTTGTCAGCAGTTAAGTACAATGGTACTTCTATTCGGAAAATTTAATTTTTTTGTTTGTTTTGAAATTTCACACAACCTTACACAAATGCCATCTGTGCTAAATGACTCTAATTTTGAAAGGCAGCTAATCAACAGCACCAACCAATTCTTTAGCTATTCAAATCAAATAGCAGGATTTGGCAGTCACTCTTGTAATGCTTCAACAGCCCCACAGTGCAAAGCTCACATTGTGGCAATGGGAAGTAAACCATGAATCCTCAGATGCACAATACTGTACACTAACTACTAGGCTGGGCCTGGCACAGGAAGCGTATTTCAAACATAACCCGAATTTCATTCACAATGAAAAGAAGTTCATGATTACAGCATTTACTCAGATATGTATTGTCAATATTGTTTATTAACTTAAATGTTATAATACAAAATAGAATTGTTTTTGCTAAGTAAGTTAATCTTAATTAGAATGATTGGCTTGCTTCTACTCTGAAATTATTCATAATGGGACAATGAAATGATAGTTTATGCAGTGCCCTCTGTTGAAAAAGCAAAAAATTAATGCCAGAAAAGTTTTAAACATTATTAACTGTAAAACTCAATAAAATGTCCCAGGTGGGATTAATGTGAAATTAATATTTATGTTATTTTCAAAAACAGTTTTATTAAAAACATAACTGATTTGTACTGATAACATTCAGATGTTGGTAGTTAAGCCTAGCACTGTACAAGTATTTTGTACCAGTGAAATTGCCATGTTATTGATCAGTTTGACCAGCAAAATAATAATAATTTTGGATACTGCATCATATTTCTTTACATATTCTTTCTCATTTTTTGATTCAAAAAGGCTGTTGTCCTTATCTTGCTACAGAATAGTTACGATTACTACATTCTCTGGTTTCAACAATTCAAATGTAGATCTTATACAAGTATATTAATGCTATCAATACAACATCAACACCAAAGCTAAAAAACACCTTGAAATTTCGTACTTGTTATCTCTTAGGACAGGAAAGAAACTGGATTTTTTTCTGCTGTTTTTACTTTTTTAAATTTAGATTGAACAAACTTCTACATTTTGGATTTATGATAATATTGCCTGTGGTGTAATAGTAATGATATTATTACTTAAAAACATACTTTAAAAAGTATCATTCCCAAACCAAGAGGTGTGCTCCAGTAATGGCATTTCTTCTGAAATGTTACATCAAAGATATTCTTGTCTTTCACTCTACACCAAGCCATTTCAAACAACAGTTCAACACTGAAAGATACAGTAGATTTTATACACGGTTTCTTCCCTTATGGTACAACTTCAAAGTAAAAAGATTAAAATCAATACAGGTAGTTAAAAAATTAAGACTTCAAACAAATGAAGGCTAGATCTTTCTCTCTGTGATTTTAGATATCAAAATTATTTTAACTGTTTTTCTCTTCTCATATTTATAGGTTAGACGATTTGAAGATAATATCACCATATTTTTCAAGATTAAATACACTATTATATTTAAGAAATTCCTTCTATTTTTTGGTTCAGTAAAAGGAATAACACAGTGAAACTATGACAAAAATAAAACAAGAGGTTTTACATAAACTTATTCTAAAATATGAATATGACTTCACAAATTTATCTATTGATAAAACAATTATGTTTAAACAAAAATATTAATCTACAGAAATGATACTTTCTGCTTTTCTGTTGAATACTGAGGCTTACAGAAGCAAGTTAATATGTTTCCAATTAATCTAAACATTTTACATAAAAAATTCATAAATACACAATATCAAATTTAATTGTATACAAATATAACTGTACCAACTGCAATGTAACTGAATTTATAATGTGTACAGTATATAAAATACCACCAAATACACATGCTCTACTATGAGGTTGAAAGGTAAACCTCATGATTCACAGGGGCTTTAATGTACCGATCAAGCTCCTTCATTATCCCCAATTACTTCTATAGTTACCAAAAGGAGGGTGCATTCCTGAAAACAAACACTTTTAGGACCCCCACCCAGGGAACTGATCTTATGTTCTAAATTTTGTCCCATTATCTTCTGATTAGAGTATGAACAAAGTTTCAAACATGGCTTCTCTTGGATCTGTTAAAGGAGGAGGAACACAGAATTGGATTTTTGTGGCTCTAGAAACCTACTTCTAAACCACATGGCTTCTCTTGGAACTGTTAAAGGAGGAGGAACACAGAATTGGATTTTTGTGGCTCTAGAAACCTACTTCTAAACCACATGGCTTCTCTTGGATCTGTTAAAGGAGGAGGAACACAGAACTGGATTTCTGTGGCTCTAGAAACCTACTTCTAAACCACATGGCTTCTCTTGGATCTGTTAAAGGAGGAGGAACACAGAATTGGATTTTTGTGGCTCTAGAAACCTACTTCTAAACCCATCCATCACACCTGGGTGGCCTTCTTGGCATGTTTTAGCTCCATTTGGTAAGAGACTATGCCATATAGATAAGGGCCACACCCAAACCCTAAATGCCACCCCAAATCTACCTGCCAAATTTAATCTTGCTAGTGCTAAAAAAGTGTAGGAGTTCACAGACAAACAAACAGATTCAGAAACATACAACATTAATTAATATAGCAGTACTTGTGGCTTAACTTCCTTGCCAAAAAATACTATCGAAGTATTCATCAACATTACACATACCTCAGTTCTTTTACTGGAGAACTACTGTGAATTTGGTCTGGAAAATTATGAAAATAAAATATATCACAAGGAAGCATAAACCCTTAAGAATCTGGTTTAATATTATAGCTAGTTTTTGCTTGCAAATATGAAAACTAATTATGACTTTAAAAAATAACTACATGTCAAATTCTGCATTAAATCTAAACCGATACTAATTCATATAACTTCCAGCAACCATTTAAACTTATTTTGCATATGTATCAACAACTGAAAACTACAATGTAAATGTTCCAGAAACTTTTATTACACGTGAAAAAAATTCAGCTTAATCATCAAAACTGAATAATTATAAAACATGAAAGATGGTACAAAAACAACCACAGAAATAATTTACTAGACAACAAACAAAAATGTGATGATTTTCTAAGAAACATAAGAGCACCATTCTAGTGTAAAATGGCCATCCAAAATTGATACTTTTGTAAGCTGGTATTCAAGAGGTTCATAAGTTAATTACGTTACTACTTCAAATACATGCCAGGATTACTAAAATAATAGTTTTGCACTAAAGCCATAATCTCCAAATTCTCTTGCAACACTAAACTTTTAAAACTACCAAGTTTTATACAACTTATAAAAATGAGTCCCTTAAATCTCTCTTATTTAAGTCACCAATCTCAATATATTACAAGTTATAAAACAAAATGATATACAGTTCGGACTAATCCTTTCATAACTTTTATTTTAAAAAATCAAATTTACAATATCATGCATCAAAGCCAAAATAATACAGCTGATAATTTTGAATAACATTATTTCTTAAGCTCCTAGGATAACTTCTAAAGAAAATGTTAAAGATATGTATATTGGAAATACCACTGGTGCGTAGGTTTGATAAACGTTAGGTTTATTTAGACTTCAAGAGTTATTATTTGATGGTCCTATTCTGATTTTGAGGTCTTTATAACTTCTCTATTTTCTCAACCTTTCAGTATTTTTGAAAACTCTAACGTTAATATATTCCTACAAGTAATACTCACCAGAAACATCAACAAAGCAATCTGTGGTAACCCTGCTGTGTGTTAGTCCTCCACCAAAAGGACAACAGCCAGGAAAATTAGCTACTACTAGAATATCTTCTAATTCTATAACAAGATGAAGTTGAAGAGATTCGTCAATGAAATTTTGTGGCGAAAACCTGAAATAAACAATATAAACCATTTATTATCAAAGATTAATTAGAAAGAAAACGAAATAATTTATCTTCAGAGCATACTTAATAATCTTTTACTTCGTTTTTAGCATCCTTCATGAACACTTCCCTGCAGTACATCATACAAAACACTAGTATCAAAGTAATGCTTTCTAATTATTTATTCATCTTTTAAATTGAGTTATATAGAACACATACCAACAGAAATAAAATAAACATTATTAAAGCTTGAGGTGCAACTATACAGCTTCTCATAAACGTTAAACACTCTATTATCTTTAAATTGTTTAGCACAAGCTTGAAAGTGACACTTGCCTAACTCTGAACTTGTAAAGTGTATACACTTAGTGGCATCTCACATGACAGATGCTCATTAAATTGGTTGTCACACCTGTTTGGGTCTTCAGTTTTGTTATAATTTTTTAACAAAGAAGCTGATTTGTGAAATGGAGGACTATTTTTGATGTGGTTTACTTACGTGAAGTGGAGGAGTATTTTTGATGTGGTTTACTTACGTGAAGTGGAGGAGTATTTTTGATGTGGTTTACTTATTTGAAGTGGAGGACTATTTTTGATATGGTTTACTTACGTGAAGTGGAGGACTATTTTTGATGTGGTTTACTTATGTGAAGTGGAGGAGTATTTTTGATGTGGTTTACTTATGTGAAATGGAGGACTATTTTTGATGTGGTTTACTTATTTGAAGTGGAGTACTATTTTTGATGTGGTTTACTTATGTGAAGTGGAGGACTATTTTTGATGTGGTTTACTTATTTGAAGTGGAGGACTATTTTTGATGTGGTTTACTTACGTGAAATGGAGGACTATTTTTGATGCTCTATATACGGTTTACTTAAGTCCAAGTTTTACAAAACAGCTAAAAAGAAATATATTGTTACCTAAACAAAACATCAGCATTTTGTGAGAGAACATGTCAGTTTAACCTTTTTTTTTACATAAGTAGGTTGTGTAAACTATAACCTTTTCATTTTTTAATATTTCTAATTGAATAAAAACAAACCTATAGTTATTAATTTGACCATATATATTCATGGGGAAACATGTTAATGACAGAAGCATATATTTTTCAAAACAATTTATTTTGTTTGTTTTATATATTCTCAGAAAAGCTCCACAAGGGGTATTTGAGCCGATATGTTACAGGGAAAGCAGCTAGTCAACAACACCCACTCATGAGCTACTCTAATCGCTATCATAATGCATTCCTAGCCCAAAGTGTAAGCATAATTTTGTGGCAACTGGACACAAACCATCAACCCTCGGATTCACAGTCTAGCATGCCTGACACACTTGAATCAGTAAACACATTAAACCCGGTCTCAAAATTAGCAGTGGTTAACTGGTTAAAAGACAGTGGGTTCTTGTGTTTAGCTAGAAATGATCAGTGGACATTGAAATATTTCTGTCAGTTGATAATCCAGGCATGATTACGAATATTCAGACCAGTCAAAATTATTTAAAACATGGCTTCAAGCACAACATTTGAGAAAAACCACAATAAAACCATCAATAAGCCTTTTCTGATTTGTTGCTTGTGTGTTATTCTTCAATGGGGTTCCCCTACTTTTAAATAGCAAGTAAAAACAGCGCATTCAAGTCGTGTATAAGTTGTGTTTTTCTTCATTTCATATTAGTAATTTCATTATTATCACAAACACAGAACTAAAGTTTGATAGGAGGGCAAGTTGGCCCCCTGTGGTATAGATCTGGATTTCAGAACTGGCAAGCCAGGTTTAAAACCATGCAATGTCACAAAATATTCACCACCTTTTAGGTTGTGGGTATAATATAAAAGTGACAATTAATCCTTTAGTATGGATGGCGGGTGGTAGGACGCTGGTGACTGTCTGTCTTCCCTCTGGTCAGTAGTTCCAAATTAGGGATAGTGTCAGACAGACTCGGTACTTTTGTTATAGATACAAACTATCTGATAGTATGTTAGAAGATATGAAATCAAAAACATTATGCTTCGTGGAAATCCATTTCAGCTGAATAGTTATATTCCCTAAAGGCATACAGTTCATAAATCTCTTATTTTTTGTGGTGGATCAAGAGTAGCCAAACATTTGTCAATGATAAAAAAGTTAGTTTCAAGCATTAAACCACTGGGACTTAACACATTTATTCCCTAATACTTAAGTTTAAACCACCAAGACTTAATATGTTAAACCATTACAGTGTCTAAGAGTGAAGAATCCAATAGATGCACGTGCGAGACATTTCAAGGGAAACAAACTGTATTGGTTTATCGGTCAGACATCCAAATTTTGTCTCACCGTTACTAAAAAAGTGGCAAATTATGACAATCATTTTTTGGAACCTACTTATCCGTGGATAATAAAAATGCATGACAGTTTTTGTGAAAAATGACCCATTATTGTTTTAAAAAGTAGCTTTGATGAATCAAATTCAGCAAAACAATACTGCTGTAGGGTTTAATTCACTTTATGATGTGATTATACCTGTCACGAGAATAATGGAACAGAACAGAACACTTTATCATTTTCCATCCATTACGGTAAACACTAGAGGGGTCATTAATTGAAGTAGTTTACTATAATAGAGCAGTGGCATGGCTGTCTATATATATATATGTATGAGACCGAAATAATAAATACAATGGTGCCATCTGTTGTGCTGAACTACAACACAATCTCAATGCCAGAAGAAGTGATTAAGGCTTATGGAATGTGGCGCCATCTACTGAATGTCACCACAAGCACAAACCCATAAACAAATTTCACACTTTGGGTATTCAAGATTCAAATAGTTAGAAAAATAATTAAAGTATGTGCAACAACCATTTTTTTTAAATAACAGAACACACTTTTAAATAAAAGTACTCTCCTCATACAACTTTTACTAGGACTGTACATGAGGGTTTGATTATATCTTCATTGATGTAATTTTTAAATGTAGTACTGAGAAATTGTAGTTCTTAAAAGAATTATTATTTTTTCAATAAAGGGTAGCACTTTTAATGTATAAAAATATTACAGTTTATATCAGTAAAATTTATGAAAATTGTGAGCTCTGTACATTGAATCATTTTGATGCATTGAGTTGCATATGACTAAAGAGCACTATCTGAACACTTTTCCTGTGCAGTACTTTATATTTATATCCAAATTTAGAAATACGAATACACTTGCTTTGTTTGTCAATAGTGTTGATCACCAGGTGTCTAATTATAAACATTTCAGAAAAGTTTAACATAAAACCAGACTAAACATTGAGCATTTTTTTCCATAATTTCAAGATTTTTGGGTCAACTGAGCAGAAGAAAATGCTTTGGATTAAAGAAAGCTTATTGATGATTGGACAAGAACCTGCTTCAAATAGCCAAGTGTCAGCAATGTTGTTGGTATTAAAATTGTATGTCCATTCATATTAACCATATGAAAACTTGCACCAAAAGTAACAACCTCCACATAAACAATCAGACTTAAAAAAAAAGTAGATTTTCATTTTATAACAGTGGCTAATAAAAGTTATTCCATCTCTAAATATTTAAGCATATAAAATATTTTTTCATTTCAATAATAAAACTCTCTACCAACTTGGATTTTTTTACGGAAGTTTTTTTACTGGCCGATGCTGGCAGTAAATCTAGCCAATAGTACAGCTCATCATGATGATGGTCAACGTGAAGTGAAGAAAGATGAATGGAACTATCTACAGCTCTTTTTCCTTCCACCTAGGAGGAGGTAAATAAATATAAACACTTAACTATGGTGACATATATTGTAGGATAAAAAAGCAATGTAAAATTCAAGAAATTTGATAATCAGAGTATGTGGAAACACAAATGCTGCACCTGCAAACATGAGTGAATCGTTTAATGAATACACTCTGAGTAGGCAAGTGTCATTTATGATGTCCCAGTTTGCACCTGAAAAAGAAAGGTCCACTTTTCGGGTTATAGGGTTTTTATAATTTTATATTTAGACTCGTAATGCTGTGATATTTAAATATAATGCTTGGAACCCTTTTACAGCTTAGAATGTGAATATATCTTTAGGTACATTCAGGTAAATATTTTCAAAATTTCAGTATACGTATTGTTGCCTGTGCTTAGTAATATGTTCTAAACAGGCAGAATGTGCCCAGCTGTGTACTATACCAAGTCCTGACATTAAGCAGTCACACATAGTCAGGACTAGTGTGGGTTTGACTGTTTCTGTATGTGATCAATACAGTAGATAAGTCTATAATTACTTTTTAATGACAATTGGCATACTGGATATATGTTGATATAGAGATGATGGAAACTCTGATTTCCCCTTTTGAGATAATGAGACTGATCATCTAATGAGAGTGAGATGACATTTTGGAATTTCATGGTAAGAGTTTTAACTTTAAGTTAGTAAGTCTTCATCAGAAAATTGTATTGTTGTTGATCTTGTCCAGAAGTTGGAGTCATAAAGACTCGAGTGTCCTAACATTATTACCACATGACATTTTGTTAATAAACTGTTGTTGTTGCCATTAACAGCTATATGCAGTCTAAAGTTCCATTGTCAAGTGTTATTTATTTGCATCTTTTTTAAAGCCTCCTGTTTCAATAACTTAATATTTACCTGTTGATATCAGTTTTATCTGAGAATACCATAATACCATTACCACTGTAAACACAACAAAGTATATTACACGAGAATCATGAAATTTCCTTAAGTTGTTCAAAAATACAATGCAATCTAACATATGAAAGAGCTTTAACACAATTAATTAACTTGAAATTAATATTAAAAGAAC